GTTTTGAATTTCAGTTTTTAAAATTTTTTTAACTTCGATGCACCGTTGCAGATGCCACCGCCGTTCCTTTCGATCGTGCCGCACCATCTTTGGGTGGAAGCGAATTAATTGGCGGGCCTTGAGCTCGGCGTGTGTATTGTGTGTGTGTGTATCAGCGGGCCCCGTCTCAAGCTGTCATAATTATCAAAGCGGGCCCCGATTAGGCCTAGCAGGGGTCTCCCCGGAGCAGATCAGAGCTCCGGCTTGTGGCACAAGATCAGTATAATGGAGGCTCCCTAGAGAGTCACCCGTCCTCACCCGCTTGCTGGAATTGGGTAACAGGATTAGTGGTGGTAGAAGCAAAGGGGAAAAAAAACAGGTGTGTGTTTGTGTGTGTGTGTGTGTGTGTGTGTGTGTGGATTTCTGGACCCACGCCAGCAAGTGTGCCAAAAAAACCCTGCAGCCCTAGCATCCTCTGGAATTGCTGAGCCCATCATCCTTGGCCCACGCGGGTGATCGGTTCCCGTGAAATTGCCTTGCCAGGGGTGGAAGCTGGAAACAGGATATAAAAAGACCTTTTTTTGTGTGTGGGCTGGCAGGAAAATGTTTTAAAAACGGAGGATGGGAAAGGAGGGAGGGATAAATAAGGGTTTGTGTTATTGGGGTGTCTTTTCTGGACGGCTTTGGGGTTGTTGTTGTTGGGGTTTTTTGCAGCTTTAGTTTTTATGGTTTGTAGCTCTGTTATGGGATGTAAGGTAAGGGAGGGAGGGAGGGAAGAAGGGAGGAAGGGAGGAAGGAAAGGAAAATGGATAGGGAGGAATAAGTGGGTGAAAGGAAGGAAGGAAAGAGGAAGAAAAGATGAGGGAGGAGTGGGGGAGAAGGAGGAAGGAAGGAAGGAAGGAAGGAAGGAAGGAAGGAAGGAAGGAAGGAAGGAAGGAAGGAAGGAAGGAAGGAAGGAAAGATGGAAGGAAGGAAGAGATAGTGGATATGGAGGGTGAGTGGGTGAAAAAAAGGAAGAATGAGAAAGAGAGGAGTGGGTGAGAAGGGAAGGAAAGAAAGAAGCAAAGAAGGGAAAGTGATAGGGAGAATGAGTGGGTAAAAAGAAGGAAAGAAAGAGGAAGAAAAGATGAGAAAGGAAGGAATGGGTGAGAAGGGAAGGAAGGAAAGAAGGGAAAGTGATCAGGAGGATGAGTGGATGAAAAGAAGGAAGGAAAGAGGAAGAAAAGATGAGAAAGGAAGGAGGAGGAGTGGCTGAGAAGGAGAGGGAAGGAAGGAAGGAAGGAAGGGGGAAGGAAAGAAGAGAGGGAGGGAGGGTAGATGGGAGAAGAGTGGAGGAGAAGAAGGAAAGAAAGAGGAAGAAAAGACGAGAAAGGACAGAAAGAGTCGGTGAGAAGGAAAGAAAGAAAGGAGTAGGAAGGAAAGAAAGAAAAGTGGATAGAGAGGAGAAAGGAAAGAGAAGGAAGAAACGATAAGCAAGGGTTAGGGTTAAGAAGGAAGAAGGAGGAGTGGGAAGGAAGGAAAGAAAGAAAGAAAAGAAAGAAAAGAAAGAAAGAAAGAAAGAAAGAAAGAAAGAAAGAAAGAAAGAAAGAAAGAAAGAAAGAAAGAAATGATTAAGGAAGACTTGTGCTACCTCAGCAGAGAAAGAAGCAACAGGAGGGCAGAGGAAAACTGTTTAGCCTGTGATGTCTTCAGATTTTACACACACACACACACACCATCACCTGCCTTTTCTCCCCAGCTCCCTTGCCTTAATTGCCTTGCCAAGATTGCAATTAGTACCTCTTGACATCGTGAGCATCTTCGGCACTGCTGCGTCTTCCTCCACCTTCCCCGCAGGGGAAGATGGAGGCCGCTGTTCTCCAGAGCCCCCAATCCCCCCCGGGTGCTCTTTGAACCAACCCCCCACAAGGGGATCAGGTGTGTGTGTGTGTGTGTGTGTGTGTGTGTGTGCAGAGAAGCTGCTCCCTCACAAGGCAGAGAGAGAGAGAGAGAGAGAGAGAGAGAGAGAGAGAGAGAGAGAGAGAGAGAGAGAGAGAGAGAGAGAGTCCGCCTTTTGCAAACCTGGGAGAAAAATCTGGCTTCTCCACCTGAAGCCGCTTAGGCAGGTGCTAAGGATGAACAGCAGGAGCTCAGAAAAATCAGCATGCTTTAATATGGATGGACTTCGACTCCCAGAATCCCCCAGCCAGCATGCTTTAAGAGGGGAGGACTTCAACTCCCAGAATCCTCTACTCTGCATGCTTTAATATAGATGGACTTCAACTCCCAGAATCCCCCAGCCAGCATGCTTTAAGAGGGGAGGACTTTGACTCCCAGAATCCTCTACTCTGCATGCTTTAATATGGATGGACTTTGACTCCCACAATCCCCCAGCCAGCATGCTTTAAGAGGGGAGGACTTCGACTCCCAGAATCCTCTACTCTGCATGCTTTAATATGGATGGACTTCGACTCCCAGAATCCCCCAGCCATCAGGGGAAGATGTATAGCCTTCAACATGGCTGGCTGGGGAATTCTGGGAGTTGATCACGTGTCCGCAGGGATGTTGCAATGGTCATAAGTGTGAAAAACTGGCCCTAAGTCGCCTTTTTTCCCCGTGCCATTGTGACTTCAAATGGTCACGAAACGAACTGTTGTAAGTTGAGGACTACCTGGACAGAAAGATGCAGTGGTTGGTTGTGTTGCTTTTTCCTCTTTTTTTTTTCCTTCCTTCCTTACCTTGGAAGAGAGACCAAAAAATGTCTTTATCTTTTTATTGCAAACGCAATATATAGATAGATAGTAGATAGATAGATAGATAGATAGATAGATAGATAGATAGATAGATAGATTAGGTAGGTAGATGGGCAGATGGGTAGATAGGTAGATAGATAGAGATAGAAGATTAGAGATAGATATAGATTAGAGATAAATAGATAGATAGGTACAGATAGATAGGTAAAGATAGATATAGATGTAGATAGATATAGAAGAGATAGATACAGATATAGATATAGAGAGAAGATTAGAGATAGAGAGATAGATGTAGAGAGATAGATGTAGAGAGATAGATGTAGAGAGATATAAAAGATTAGAAATAGATAGATAGACAGACGGACAGACAGATATGATAGATAGATAGATAGATAGATAGATAGATAGATAGATAGATAGATAGATAGATAGATAGATAGATATAGATATTTGGTCTTTTCAAATTCCATCTTAAAAACATGTTAATGCGGTAAACAGAAGGAACAGGCATGTTTAAACAGCCACGGGGGGTCGCCTGCCAAAAATCCGGATGAAAAATAATACAAACTGTTCCAAACTGTCAATGAGGAAGGGAGGGAGGAAGGGAAGGAAGGAAGGAAGGAAGGGAAGAGGACAGAGTTGAATCATCGTGTATCAAGTTGGCTTGTCCGAGACCTTGGCGGCTTTTCACAGTGGGGGGCTTAACTTATCCCGTTGGAGCAGGGCTTGAACAGGGGTGGGCTTCAAATAAATTTAGCAACCTGTTCTCCGCCAGGTTGCTGGATGGGCGTGGCCTAGGCCTCTTGCACCATGGCGGGGGGGGTCATTTTTGCCCTTCCCCGGGCTCAGGAGGATTTGCTTAAGGCTCCAGGAGGACAAAAATGGCTCTGCGGAGGCCCGTTTCTGGCCTCTGGGAGGCCTGTTTTTGCCCACCCCCCGAGCGTCCATGCAGGTCCCGCTCTTACCTGTGGTCCAAAAAGGGCCCCGTGGAGATACCTGGGAGGGGAGGAGCCAGCCCGCCATTGCAACTACCGGTTCAGCGAACCAGGTGTCAAAAAAATATGAACCAGTTTGTGCGAACCGTTGCGAACCGGTTGCATTCCAACCCTAGGGTGGACTGGAATCCTTCGGGGGAGACCAAAAAAATTAAATGTCCTTTGCGTAATGGAAATTATTTGAAAGTAAATCTATGGGTGCTAGTCAGACGGACAGGAATGAAGGGACGTGTGGGGTAGGAATCTCGTTTCCGGAACACCACGGATCTGGGCAGGTGGGGGGGGGGAGGCCCCCCGGCGTTTTGTCTGGTGGTTGAAGGCTTCGCCAACCTTGTAGCTACTCGGAGCAAGACGACTGCAGGCGGCTGTCCAGTCCAATTTAAGGAGCTGTCCATCACCCGGGGAGAACGGGGGCGTTTGGAGGAACCCCCGGCGGTCTGAGAAACATTAATGTCATTTAAAGCAAGGACGTTCCGGAGCGAGCCAAGCCTGTATTTGGATAAATAGATTATAAAGTAGAGGGTTTTGTTTGTTTGATTTTCTGCCCCAAACCCAATATGCCAGGCTTGGACAAGAAGGTTGTGTAGGTCAGCCCATCTGAGACAGAAAGGATAAATAGGGAAATGATAGATTCCTTCCTTCCTTCCTTCCTTCCTTCCTTCCTTCCTTCCTTCCTTCCTTCCTTCCTTCCTTCCTTCCTTCCTTCCTTCCTTCCTTCCTTGTCTCTTTGTCAACTTCTTTTCACCAGCTTCTCTTTTATCAACTCTTCTCTTTCCTTCCTTCCTCACTCATCTCTTTCTTTCCTTTCTTCTTTTCACCCACTCCTCCTCTTTATCAACTCTTCCCTTGCCCTTCCTTCCTTCCTTGCATCCATCCTCATCTTCTCCTATCTTTCTTTCCTTCCTTCTTTTCACCCACTCCTTTATCAATTCTTCC